GAGAAGAACTGAAGGAAGATGGGCTCTATATATCGAGTTTCGGCGAATACTGTTAGTTTTGGTTAGTCGTCCTACTAGGCAAAATAACTTTTTGTTTGTCATTGGCATAGTTATCGACATTGCGTCCTTAATATCTTTTAGTAAAAATAAATGGAGTTTTAAATTTCATGTATCTAACGCTGAACTTAAAACCGCGGAAAGCTTAGCCCTTTTTGCATGACAAAAAGAACGCGTTTGAGACAGGATTACGCTTAGCCCTAAAGTTAATAGTATCTCTCTCTCTCTTCGAGACATTGGTATCGGCATTTTACTGGCTACCGGTAATGGAAAAAAGATTTTCTTCCAACAAATACGCTTTTATCGAATACATCGCTTTATATATGTCGTAGGATGCAGTTTTTGAAGTACATGCTGTTCAAGTTTCGTTGTTTATGGTACGGTTATCCATGCCAAAATGAATATGATGAATTTTAAAAATTTACGAAAATTACTGTCTCTACAGTGTAGAAAAATACTTAAGATCAAATTTTCAAGTGTGAGCTTTCTTACGCTTTATTATGTTTGTTATATTTGTTGTCTTAACGTCTTATCTGTGTACAAAAGCAAAAAGAAAAAACTAACTAAGCCACTAGTTTCATTGTTTTAATTTAATATTAATATTAAGGCATTAAGGTGTACACAATTTAGAGTTGACTTTACCTTAACTTTCTACCAAATTTGAATTTTTTAGCTTCTCTCTATTACATAGTGTTTTACGATAGATTTATTGCTTAGTTAATTCAGTACATTTAAAGGATAAAAAGAGAAAAGAGAAAAAAATAACAAACAATAACCTTTATAAAAATAAGTTATGAAGTAACAGACACAGACTAGTTAATATTACGGCAAAGCTAGCAACAAATACTCATACGAAAAGCAATTGGAATATTACTCAATAAAAAGGAACAACTCTGATTTTCCTATAATGACTCAAAATAACAAAGATCTAGAAAGTATATGAAGCTGAAGTAATGCAATGCAATGATTATTCAATCAAAACAAAACTTCTTAATCGGAGAACATTGGTTTTAAATTATTTATGGGAATACGATAAAAGTCAAACACAAATTTTTTAAAGTTGTAGATAGTTTGGTTTACGGGGATGAATCCTTGATTAGAGCTATTGACATTTTGATTGCATATGTTGCTAATTTCATTCAGATCCATAGAGTACGACACTACATCAACAGGTAGTTTGAAGTAGTTGCACTTAATTAAAAATAAATAAATCAGTACAGATTTTCTTTCAATTTAAGTTATAACGCCGAACAGATCTATTGAAAATCAGTCGTCGAAAATGAATTTCAGGAAACCTTTGCATTGTCATGGATAAAATCTTAATTAGCCTGTTAATTGGCAGTTTGAAAACTCTGTCGGATAACTTGAAGAGACCAAATTCCAAGGGAACAACGTTTTTGAAAAAGTTAACTTCCCTTTGAAAACAAGGGATCTTATAAACGGAACTAGTTACATTATAAGACTAATTACTATATAATTAAAATTAGATTCGAAATATAAGAACAAGGAACATAATTGCAGTGCTTGCAGATAAAAAAAAACATTAAGACGTAAGTATGGGCATAGTTCTTTTTACAAAACTTCTGGATTTTACTCTGTACCTGTTTATATATTGTTTGAGGGGGGCGGAGCTAAATGAGGGGCATAAACACCCTCTCGGATGACTGATTCCCATATTGGTGACAGGTAGAGACCTGAATCGCGGATAAGATTGTTAGGTTGTTTATAGATTTCTATAGACTCTCGGATTTTTCGTTGGTAGAAGAATTGATTACATGCACAAATTTTAGTTTTATTGAATAAGATTTTGTGTCCGGTGTCGTGATTGCGTTCGGCAATTGCTAATGAGTTTACTTGTCTTAGTCTTAAGTCTGTTTCATGTTTTTTGAGCCTAGTTAATATTTTGCTGGCTTCTCATATGGTATTTTGTCTTTGACGGATCGAAACTATTGAGAGATTTTTGGACAAGTTGGTAAATCTGGTTTTGATGTTACATTTCTTTAGGACTGTTGATATGTGGTCTGTGATGTTTTGAATGTAAGGCAAGTGGCAACAGTGGCAAGTGTAGGATTGCTTTCGGCCTCATTGCCATTGGAAGATTGTGGTGAAGTGTATTTTGTGATGGAACGCTGGAAAAACATTGAAATTATTAGAGAGAAGAGCAGAGGTAAGGCGTTTTAATTCTGGATTCAGTGACTCGGGCTGAGATAGTTTTATGGCTCTGTAAATAAGAGAGTTGATAACCGATAATTTTTGGGCCGGATGGTGATGTGACAATGCATTAAGGTATCAGTCTCTGTGCGTAAGTTTTCTGTAAACACAATTGCACAATCACGAAACCGGACATAAAATTTTATTAGATAAAACTAAAATGCTTGCATGTAGTCAATTCTTCTACCAACGAAAAATCCGGGAGTCTATAAACAACCTGACAATCTTAACGGCGACTCAGGTCTCTACCTGTCACCAATATGGGAATCAGTCATCAGTCATCCGCTGTTTATGCCCCTCATTTAGCCCCGCCCCCCTCAAATATTATAAAAGCAGGTGCAGAGTAAAATGCGAGCCAGTTTCAGTCAAGCTCCGAAGAAGCAACCAGGATGATTAATGAAACGTTAGCTACTTCGAGTCAAGAAAAACCGACGCAGGAGGAATCCAGAAGTTTTATAAAAAAGTATTACAGTAGCCTGTGGAAGTTTCCTTGAAAAATTTACGGCATAGTTTTTAATCATGCAATTTGCACACCCAACTTACTAAAAATTCGCTTCATTCGGCAGTTGAAAATTTAAACGGAAGTTGTTATGTTTAATTTTGGCAGTTCGTAAATATTGACCATATAAACGCGTCCGGTTAAGGATTGTTTACGCCTAGTAAATAATCTGTATTTCAACAAAGGGCGCTTTCTACCATTGTTTGGAATAGGGCATCGATAAAGCAGAAAACAAAGTTGGAATTCGTTTCATTCAAACGGAATCCGAAATTTGCGTCCAAATATAGATTGTGCCAACCGATTTTTGGAAATTGCAAATTAGTAATAAAGTTTTAATAATATTTTGCAGATTTAGTGCGATATTGGCGAATCGAAGACATCGTGTTTTGGCAATTTGGTGAATTAAAAGGAGCAACATTGGCCGAAATGCTGCAGAAGTGATGCGATGTTTGGCAGACTAATAAATATATTTTATTATTATTAAAAATGACATTTAACACCTAATGCCCTCGGAGAAAGTGTGAAGGAATAGATATAGTCTGACATGGAAGCGGTTTTGTCTTGTCCGTTTCCTCAATAACACAGTAGTGAACAATAATAAATGTAAAGGTCAAGAACACTAACACAGAGTATGAAAATTGTACAGAAAGTGCAAGATAGTGTGCTATGATCTTCACAGATTTCAGAGAGCCAAGGATTTTAATTTAGATTTTTTATTTTGATGGAATACTTGTCCACACTATAGAAACGATTTTCAATAAGCAACAATTTAATATTTGTTTTGGACACATATTGTACACGTTAATGTTGAAAGAATTTTTGTCTGATGTAACAAGTCTGTGCTTTGGAACTCTTATAAGTTTTTTTGCACGTGTTGGACAACTATGAGACACACCTTCAAATATATTAGTATGTTTGTGAATTTCTATAAAATTATGTAGAATATAAATACAGGGAGAATATAGATACAGGGCAGTGTCATTATCTCATATTTTTTAAAATATGGAGTACAGTGTTCATTGTGCTTAGCCCCATCAAGAATTCTTATAGCCCTTTTCTGTCTCCTAAACATTTAAACAGCATTGACAGAGTTTCGAGATAATATTATGCCATATGATATGCGGCAATGAAATAAAGTATAATACACTGTTATTACCGCATTTTGTTCTAGGCTCTCCGTAATTTTTCTAAGGACGAACAAGCCGGAAGATAGTTTTCGCTTAAGTGATAAAATATGATCTTTCAAGTCAAGTCTACTATCCAGTGTAATGCTAAGTAATTGTTGTTCTATTTATCTAGCGAAAAGAATATTTTTTGAGTTTTGTCCGTATACAATTTGATATAATTATTTTTAAACCAATTGTTCGCATTGCTCTTCATTTAGCCAATAATGTTGTGCGTGTCATTTCAATTCGGACCATATAGGGCAAAACTGGCATCGCCCGCAAATAAAGCACATTTGACAGACCCCAAAAAACGGCATAGATCAGCAACATACACTATAAAAAATATAGGGCCGAGTACGGACTCTTGGGGGACCCTACTGGAGACCTTCACCAAATAGGATTTACGTCTGTCATCGCCCACAAACTGTTCCCTGTCATTTAAATAAAATTCTGTTAGCTTAAGGGTTTCGCCGCGAAATCCATACCTAAACAGCTTCTGTTTAAGAAGATCGTGCGAGATACACTCGAAGGCCTTGCTAAGGTCACACATTCTTAATCCCACCCGAATTCCAGTCTCAAGACCCAGCACCACAACCTTACTTATCGTTTGTATGGTAGAACTGTTCATTCCCAAAGATATCCTGCAAGCAAAGCGAATAAAAAAATCCGCTAATATTTGTATTTTTTAATGCGAAATTGTTCTGCGGGTTTTCCAAAAATCGTCTAAGAACGCGTAAGTTGCTACTGGCAGGACAGAGGACATTCCAACGTCAATCTGATACGAAGTTAACAGAAAATTGCCGATTTACAGAATGCACAGGATCGGATTTTTTTTTTTGGAATTTTAATTATTTCTCAATGACGAATTTTACGACGGGGATGTAACATCAAATTTGTGGGCGCTCTTTCATAAAACGATGTGCAGCACTAAGTAAACGTCGGTCGACTCCGGGTTTTTCCGGCTGCCCGTGCTTTAGACGGGTCCGGATCGCTGAATTCCCGATTCCCAACTATTCGAGTTTCTGTACGATCGGATGGAAGTTTAGTATTTGAACAACTCCCTGCCGGTAAAGTAACGCTACGCTAGGCTACGCGGTGTATCTGACAACGTGCTCATTCCAAATTCTCTAGTTTTCTTAAGTGCTTCATTGCATTGGCGCCGCTCTAGACTTGAAACTTAATATTCGTTGTGACTGGCGCAATATGTTTCCGTGTACCGTTTAGGTGCAGTTTTCCTCAAAAAAAAATCTATCTCGCAGTGAATTATTAAAGTTTTTGGTGAGGCGAAAAAAAATCATCAAAGTGAACAGGTATATATAGATATTTTTTTAATCAAATGTTCGAAGTTTCATCAAAGCGCGTTAAAACGACTACTAATAGAAACGTTACCTATCTGAATTGTAAAAAGATCTGTTGGGGCTCTAACGGCAAAAACGATGGAAATTGGGATGGCTTAATGAAAATCCGTCCGAAGCCGGTTCATTTTCTATTTAAAATTTGCTCTCTTAGGATTTAAAAGGTTTTATTGCAATATAGATCCTAATTTTCGTTCCGCCAGGGTGCGATGAATTTAAATATCCGCCTTTTTTTCTCTAGGCGGTTCGTCTCCTTCCGTTTATTATTATTGTTTGTTTTTAGTTCCGAAGGCCCGGTTTATTTTTGATCTTTTATTATACTTACCAGTCACGAGTTAAATTAGAAAAAAGGTGCTGTTGAGAAAACGTGAAAAATTTCCATTATACGATATTCTTGTTGCCACTTTTTGAACTCTACAACAAATAAAAAATGCTATTTAATACGTGGTGTGGTTTTTTCAAGGACCACATGAAAAAATAAATTTGATGAAGATGAAGAGTAGCAACAAGAATGTCGTCTTTTTTTTTCATATCTGTTTAAAGAATATAAAAAAAAGAAAATTTTTCAATTTTCTGAACAGCAACTTTTTTCTATCTTAACTCGTAACTTGTAAGTATAAAAACAAACAACAATAATAACCCTTTTTTCTTAAATATAACTGGTTCAATGTCCATGTACAAATTTTGCCATTTATTTTTTGCCTCTTTTTTCTTTGTTGTCTTTTTACTAATTGTCGTGTTTCTATGTATTCGAGTGTCTTTTGTACTTCAAGGTCCTTTCTTATTTCCTTTTTTCTTATTTTGTCCATTTTTGTGACTCTAACTCGAATTTTGATTTTGTATTGATCAGTTAGTCTGCACGATAGTTTTTGTTGATATATCCTTTTTTCTTACGAAGTTCTTATTCATTGTAAAATACAGTTTTAGTGTTTTTCGGTTATTTATCTCTGTTTCCTCTTTTCCGTCGATCTCTATTTCTACTTCTAAGTAATTAATGTGTCAATACATAATCCAGTTTTATATACATATGTTTCTAGTCCCGTCTGTAAAATGCCTAATTACACACCAATCTAGCGTATGGGAGAAATCACTTTTCCACGTCAGTTTCGTATCCTACGGATCCGAGGCACATCGGACATTTCCGGGATTTTACCGCACGGGAGCAATCGGATGTTTTCGGAGATATTTCCTACGCCTTGAATTTTGACGTTTGTCAGTTCTGACGGTTATTTCAGTGGATGTATTCGTGTTGTTTTGCGAAAATGTAGCTAAGAACTAACAGTCGTAGAAAAAGTATAGTATGCTCCGCTCGTGTCAAGTAAACTCGCGAGTCAAATGCCGTTTACGGCACTATTACTAGATCGTCAACAAATTTTTATATTTATCATGTATCTATGACCCACATAATTTTCTTACGATTGCTCCACAGTTTTTCATTATTTCATTAATAAAGGCTGTGATTGTCTTAAACCTGCTTTAATTACGAATGGCTTTGAAATTTTATTTTGGTATATTACATAGTTGTATATATTTTTCAACACCCTTATCATTCCTCCTTCAAGCACAATTTTCCATAGTTTGTGTCTTGGCTATTTATCAAACGCTTTCTCCAAGTCAAATATATTTTATTATCTTAGAGAGTATTTTCTACCACCGGTCCAGGACTTGTTCATATTTTTTCATTGCTGCACACTGCTGTAATTATTACAGTCGAATTTACCCCCTTCTTCGGGAAGCATTTAAAAAAATATAAAAACTGCGTTTGCAAGGGTCTAAAGAAAAGAGCATTTCTCGAAAACTGTTTACGGAACCGAACAAATTCTTGAACGTAGAAGATTCGGCTGCATGAACTTTTATTCTTGACAATTTTTCAAAAATGTACAGGGTCGGCCGCAAATTAAAAAAAAAAAGAAAAATGAGTGCACCTATTATTGAAAATTGGCGATAACTAAAGGACTGAGTTTTAGATACGAGTTTTTTTTTTACATGGCAATAAAGCTCGCATACACAGTTAAAACTTTTGTATTAAAGGTTTTCACTTATTATACAGGGTGTTCGCGTTATTCCGTGCAATATTAAGAAACGTACTAGGTGCCCTAAATTTGCTGCTACCGACTTCAGATTTGGCAGAGAAATAGAAGTTCAGATCCACATTTAAACTGTTAAAGTCGAGCGCAATTGAGTATCGCAAAGTAATTTTTTAAAATTTTTGAAATTTTGTTGTTGGTTATTTTGGCTTCCAGAAAAACATGTTTTTTTTTCCATAACCATTCATCCGATCGGCAAAATTCTTTAACTGGCAGATGCGGATGATTCATTGATATAACATTTATTTCAAGCATTTTTTTGGTTATATACGGGGTTTTTAAATTATAGGCAAAATCCAAAAGACTTTGAAAATTGTTCTTTTCCAGAGTAAATTATTAACCGCAAATCAAAAATCGTAAAAAAAATGGCTAATCGGTTCAAACAGTGTCATAGGCCGCATCAAGAGCTATAATTTTTGTATTTGCTGTTTTCGTCTAGCGCATACGCTGTTGGAAATATTTGCAAAAATCAAAATGAAAATCACCGTTGCGCGATGACATCATTTACTATTACGACGTACTGCATGGCTTCGGAAAACCAGTATTTTCTCGAAAACCGTTGACTCCATTGGAAAAACTTATATACCAGAAGACATGGGAGATCCAAGGATTTCACCTCTATTTTGTACATTGTTTGAATTATATACAGGGTGTGTCGTTTATGGGAAAAAAATCAATAAGAGCATAAAAATTGCCGTTTTCGTGGGTAAATTATTAAACGTACATGAAAAAGTATAAAACATGGGATAATTCGAGTTAAACAGTATCGTAAATTGTGTCGAGAGAGAGAGAGAGAGAGAGAGAGAGAGAGAGAGAGAGAGAGAGTTTCAGGTTTTCACGCGATCAAACGCAGACCATTAACGATCTCTGACACTACCTTCCGAACTGCATGTGTGGTGGTTTTTCCAGCCAGGAATCCCCACTAATCCAATAATAATTCTTTTAGGATTATTTCCAAAATTTATTTTTTATTTAAATTTAATATTGGACGACTGTATATTATCGAGAAAATATTGACTCTCCAGAAAATTAACATTCTGAACAATTACAAAGTAGTATTATAAATTAAATCAATTTGAGCTCTTAATAACTTTGTGTAAAAAATTTGGGGTTAAAATTTTTAGTTTATCTAAACTTTTAGCGTCTAACTGTTACATGATGCTAGACAATATAAATATTGCTTCGAAAATTCACTACGTTCAAATAATACAAAGACAAAAGAGAAATGGAAGTACAAACAATAACCTTTATAAAATGCAGTTGTGAAGTAATAGCACAGACTAGTTAATACTACGGCAAATCCAGTAAGAAATACTCATACGGAAAGCAATGTAGTTGGTATATTACTCAAAAAAGGAAACAAGACTGATTTTCCTATAATGACAAAGATAACAAAGATCCAGAAAGTACACGAAGATGAAGTAGTGCATTCAAAATAAAATTATTTAATCAAAGAACATTGGTTTTAAATTATTTATGGGAATGTAATCCAAGTAATATAAAAAATTATTAAAGAGCTATTGACATTCTGGTTGCATATGCTGCAAATTTCATTGAGATCCATAGAATACGACACTACATCAACCGTTAGTTTGAAGTAGTTGGACTTAATGAAAGACGACTAGAACAGTACAGATTTCCTTTAAATTTAAGTTATAACGCCGATCAGAATTATTGAAAATCAGTCGTCTAAAATTAATTTGAGAAAACCTTTGTATTTTCATGGATAAAATCTTAATTAACCCGTTAATTGGCAGTTTGAAAACAGTGTCGGATAATTTGAAGTTAGAAAGTTAACTTCCATGTGATAACAAGGGGTCTTATAAACCGCACTAGTTAGACTATAAGACTAATTACTAGATAGTTAAAATTAGAGTCGAAATATAGGAACAAGGACCATAATTGCAGTGCTTGCAAAAAAAAGCGTTAATTAATTTTAGTAACAAACTATTTTTCTTTCTTGCTTGCAAGCGTTGTAAATTACACGTTGGAAAAGAATTATTGAAAATCATATTTGAGGAAAGTTTTACCCAGAAGAAAAATATTGTGGTATTTGAAGATAAATAAATAAATTTTGTATATAACACACACGCAACATAAGTACAGGTTAGGATTATAGGCAACTAGTAACCTAAAAACGTTTGTTTAAAAAACAAAAGGGGGTGTTTTTGAAAGCTTTGTTTGCCGTATAGCGCGAATAATCCTGTTTAAACGAAGTCCCGAAATTGGTCTCGACGCTGGTAATTAAGAGACAATTTTTTGTCTTTTGTTTTGTCGCCGAGGCGGTTTTTCAAAATCCAAGCAAATCCAACCATATCGTGCGATTTTAAACCGGGTGGTGTAGGATTTAACTCCCACACACACAAACACACAAAAGTTAAAATACTAAGTGGAGGGGATTAAATTTAATTTCGATGGTCTGGTGTGTGTGTCTGTTATATATATGTTACGTTTTCGGATGTGGTGGAACGAATTTTTTCCGTCGAAACCTTTTTATGTAATACATCAAAGGAAATTGAACCATTTTAATTTATTTCGCAGCCCGGTAAACGTTCAATTTTGTTCCCTAATTCCAGAAAACGACCCCAAATGATTTCCCATTTGCGGGAAAATTAATAACTTTATCGTTAGCGAAAGTTTCGGTATAACGGCGCATATGAAGTGCCAATAAATATGGTGAATTACGCGCAATTGTTAAGACTTGAACAGCCGCTACATCAACCGTTAACCGATTCTAAATCTAGATATATGTGTATTCAAATTCTATCCATACTTGACAGTTCAACAATATGACATCGTTATAGTATTAGGCAACAGTTTAGGATAGTTCGATACTTGTAATTGATTGACTAAATTCTGTACGTATTT